CAACACGAAAAAAAGGGGCAAATCGTGTTGGTGAACACGAATCAATAGATTAAAAATCGTGTTGGTGAACACGAAATGCCGTGAGACTGGGTTGGTCGTACACACACATGCGTTTTTATACAGGGCATACAGTACACACTTTTTATAACATGCACACATACATATGAAAATAGTTACACATGACATGCACATGCAGTTGAGAGGTCAGAGCAGAGGCAGCCAGTCTAGCCGGCGCCAGTGAGCAGTTGGGGTTTAGGTGCCTTGCTCAAGGGCAATTCGCCTGTGGCCCAGGAGGTGAACTGGCTCCTCTCCAGTACCAGTCCACACTCTGTATTTTTTGGTCCGATTGGGACGTGAACCGGTGACCCTGTGTCAAGGAATACCATGATCATAACACCAGAGGGAGCTCCACAAATCATGTGAAACCCAGATTTGGCACAAAAAAGGGGGAATACACGTTTCGCAATTATGCCACATCAAGGTGGAACGCTCTTCCCACAACTGTAAAGGAAAGTAAAACTATACTTACCTTCAAAACCTCTCTTAAAGAGCACCTTCGGGGGAGAGCATTGCAAAACTGGCCCCGGTAATGGTACAAATCTCAACCTGTCGTTCAATGGACGCTTCCCCCCCCCATCTATGTATATACTCGCATTTTAGACTCTGTTACTAACTGTATATCTGTAGACTTGGTATGTCTTAAATGTCCGGTTAGGATGTATTAGAACGAAATCTAAAATGAAAATTGTAAATAAGCAATCTGTATGTAAAAAACCACCTGTATGTAAATTGTAAATAAGCCATTTGTATGTCAAATATGTCTTATATGCAGGGGTGCACATAACTTTTTTGCCCTGGTTCTCAAAGGAGCACCTGGAGATGTTGCTTGGTGCTCATCCTTAAAATGAAATACACCGTAACTTTTGAGGGGGTCTTGACTTTATTTGCCAGACACACGGCACTGAACACACATGCAGAGGTGAACACAGAACACACATGCAGAGGTGAACACAGAACACACATGCAGAGGTGAACACAGAACACACATGCAGAGGTGAACACAGAACACACATGCAGATGTGAACACAAGACAACATTAGCACGACCAGTAATCCTACAAGCTGTCATCACTACCCTCCTGACTGTTCTCCTCACTGTCTTCCTCTGTCAGACATAGTAGCTGATGATGTAGGCCTACTACTTTCTCTCTGGTTGAGTCTGCGATTAGCTGCTTGCATCCACAAGTCAACAGCTGGGTTTGGGTCGAAAGTCTCTGTTGTCATCTTAGACAAGTGGATGTAATCAAATAAGTATGTGAACATAACCAATAACCTACCATAGCCAATACCAAATGAATGTAACTTATTTGTATTGTTGTTGTTCATATCTTATTTTACCTTAACATTTATATATTTATGCATTTTTTTTTATCTTTCCAGTTTTAAACGATATGTCTGGTTTACTGTCCTATAGTATACATTGGAATGATTTCAAACCTGTTTATCCCAATAATTATAAAGGAGTGCCTTGGAAATATGTGTTTACATAACTTGTGATCAAAACGTTTGAGACCCACTGAGACAACTTAGACTAAAGTGAACTATCTAAACCCTCAGAGTCCTTTACCTCACTGAGCTGTAGTTATCAGCCTCAGTCTGACTGGAGAGGACTCTCCCTCCACATTATTGTAGAAACATCTTCTTCTTATATCCGTTAGAGCTGCTAGCACCAGATGCTAATAACAACAGCGCCGGAACCGGTGCACCCTCCCTCGATCCCACGCTCACTCGCACTTTGGCTGTGAGCTGTGGGTGCCAGATAAGCCAACATCCCCCATTTTCATCACTTACAGCGCCCATCATACAGGGCAAATGAAACGTGTAACCGGGGTGAAAAGGGTGTTACATTTACTTAATTATGAATGTTGTTACTTCAAGGCCGAAAATTAGGATGAGCCCCAACGGTCAAAAAATTGTTTTTCCCTCCCAGAGCTGCCAGTGCAGCGCCTCCCCGGATCTGGCGCCCTAGGCGAACATCTATTACGCCAGTGCTACGGAGCCGACCCTGAGTTCATATGCAACTCGCAAATATCTTTCTCTCTCTCCTCTCTTCTCTCTCCTCTCTTCTCTCTCCTCTCTTCTCTCTTTTCTCTTCTCCCTTCTCTCTCTCCTCACTCTCTCTCAATGTTGGTACGCAAATGCGCCTTTTTTCAAATGACCCGGTGCTCATTTTTTGGCGGAGGTGCGCATGCGCACCTGCGCACCAGTTATGTGCAGCCCTGCTTATATGTCTTAAATGACATGATGAATTGGAAATGGGGGACCCTGATGTAAACAAGACGAAAGTCTTTCTCTGGTCTGCATCCCCTTAACAATTGTATGTTTTGAGCTGTACTGTACTGTACCCAATATACAAGCTGTTAATAAACTTTTCAATCAATCAATCAAACCCTTCGGTCCATAGTCCAATCCCCTACAGACTGAACCACTCCCACCCCGTGGAGGTATCTACTGGTCTGGCAACCTCAAAGTTAAATCAAACCACTGTAAATGTGTGTTGTCGAATTAAACTGCGTTTTACTGTTTAACTCTTTCTATTCCACTGAACAGAAGCTGTCATTCCTGCTGTGTGTTTAGAGCCGTTAGCCATTAGCTGTTGTTAGCGCTATGCTAATGATTACAAACAGATACACACATGCACACTGGAGGCATATTAGGATAAGAATGCACACAGGTGGAGAGGAAGAGCAGGAGAGGAGCAGTGTAGGCCTAAAGCAGCATGACTAAAAGATGCGTCAAAAAAGAGGTATTATACAATTATTTCATCCAACTGAAACGTTTGGGAGTTTTGAATGATGATTCTGATAAATCATAATTGAATTACAGTTTCCATCAATAGGCCTACTCTAATTATAAATTGTTACAAAACAAATGATAATGAATTGATTGGTAACCTCACTCGAGTGGAAGGTGTCATTAATTAGAACTACCTTTCCATGCACTTTTGCTATACCATGGCTTTTTGGGAGGAACTTATAATTATGCAATGTTATTTAGAAGAATCATTCAACTTTTTAGAATGTTAAAGCTCATACTGTATATGATCATTTTTCATAGCATCAAACAAGTCCCAGATGATATGGCTCATTAAAAAAATCCTTTTATCTTTTCAATGTCAGTACATTTACCGAAACTTCACCTAATTTCAAGGCCTGGAAAACTCACCCTGTATCTTGTTCTTGTGTTTTCTCCACAGGGTAAATGCTCCCAAAAGTGTCGCAACCTGTTTGTGGTGGAGTCTGTTTGTGTGGCTTGGTTCTCCATTGAGTTTCTCGTGAGATTTCTCCACACACAGAGCAAGCTTGAGTTTGCCCGCGGCCCTCTGAACATAATCGATGCTGTTGCCATCTTGCCCTTCTACGTCTCCCTGCTGGATCTCAGGTCTGGGCCTGTTGGGGACACCGAGGACGGTACAGGAAAGAGCACCCTTGATAAACTGGGTCTGATCCTGCGTGTGATGAGGGCCCTGCGGATCCTATACATCATGAGACTGGCCCGCCACTCTCTGGGTCTGAAGACCTTGGGGCTCACTATCCAGCGCAGTGTGACGGACTTCGGCCTGCTGCTGCTCTTTGTGTGCGTGGCTGTGACTCTCTTCTCTCCACTCATACACCTGGCTGAGAGTGAGCTGGCCCCCCACGCCGCCAAGTCCCCCATGGTCAGCTTCAGCAGCATCCCAGCATCGTACTGGTGGTCCATCATCACCGTCACCACGGTGGGGTACGGCGACATGGTGCCACGCAGCGTACCGGGCCAAGTGGTGGCACTGATCCTCATCTTGTCAGGGATCCTCCTTCTGTCGTTCCCTTCCACTTCCATCTTCCACACGTTCCAACACACCTACAGCGAGATGAAGGAGGAGAACAACTGGCTGTGGAAGGAGGAGAGGGGCCACGAGCTAGCCAGCGAGGCGGAGGAGAGTTTGAGAGAAAGAGACAGTTGGCCGGATAACTGTCCAGAAAGAGACATATTACCTCGTCTTATTACCTTGTAACAGAGACATAACAAAGCAATCCTCCAGTGACATCAGATACTGTAGCCAAATGTAAACCCTTGCTAAAACATCTGTGTAACATTATTGTGGTTAATAAGAGCAAATTCCTGCAGCTACACTCCAAAGTATTTTTATGAGAGGTCATTGTAGAAGCCAAAATGCTTATTTAGCCATTGTTTATTATTTGTATTATTATAATTTTTTATTTACACCACACACATTTGTAAGCTATCATTTCCAGCTATTGTCACATGTGTGTGGTTTTAGTGATTTAGTCCACCTGTTGTGTGCCAGGCTTGTTTGGAAAGACAAAGAGATGATTTGGTTCAGATATTATCTGTTGACTGTATGGTCTCGCTTTATTTATTCTTTGTTTTCTTTAAATATCATGGAGTCAACTCTAGCACAGACTGCTTATTTGTAAAGTGTCACAGCAATGAGCCAAACTTAGCCTCTTAGCGACATCATTTATTGGACGTTTATTAGCTACCGTCATCTTAAAATGTTGTCACTAAAAAGGAGTTTTGGGGGTTACCAAGAAAAGCAAGAATTACTGGGTTTGCGAAAAAGGGAAGAATTTCATTCAATATGTCAAGCCAGCTGCAGTCTCCTTCTGAACAAAAAGTGAACTAAAACACTTAGGCATCACTTTTTAACAAAAGCAGTACAATTATTTATTAGGCAAGTTTGATTGTTAGCTGGATTTTGCCCAGTAGGGGGAAGAGGTGCTCTTATACAGCCATCATGCTCTGTTTGGAAACTTGTGGAGGTCAGTTAAGGACAGAGAACATGTGTTTCCCTGCAGACTGCAGTTACAGTAAATCATACCATGGCTGTAATTGGAAAGGACCTGAAGAAACAGGACTGCAGGTAATGCCCACACAGAGGAGATGCAGGCAGGGCCTGCAGCTCTGAGGCCTGTCAAATAATTGACGAGAGGCCAGATAATGTTTTGGACACTGGATGTTTGCCTCTGAGGAAAGTCAGTGATTCCAGAAATACCCCAACAACGACCACCACTCAGACTTTAAAGAGTCCCCATTCTGCTTTTTGGTGTTTTCCCTTTCCTGTAGTAGGTTGTTGCATGCATGTAAATGGGCCGCAAAGGCTACAATCCTGTAGTTCCCTCCAAAGGGAGTAATAATGACATCACTATGTAACACTAGCGCTTCTATTGGCTAGCGCTACAGCACATTGTACGTGATAGGCTAAGGAGCAGGACCTCTTCAAGCAATTGACCAATCACAACAGAGCCAGCCAGCTAACCAATCAGAGCAGACTGGGCTCTGGTTTCAGACAGAGGGTGAAAAGAGGCTTTTTGAATTAAAGCATGTAAGCATGTCATAGATAGGAGAGGAACAAAATACTAATATGAACCTGAAAACTAGCATCATGTCTTCTTTAACCCAGCCTGCCCAGACACCTTCACGTTCACCCTGCTGAAGGCCTTGAACAACATAACTCAGTAAAAGTATTGCATTACAAGACTTACTTAATAAAGCTGCATAAGTATTATCTTTAAAATGTTGTTACAAATTAAAAAATGTGAAGTATTTGTTCTTTGTTAAGCCTTGAATGATCAGTTCAAAAAAATGTAAAATATTTTAGAAAGGAAATGTCTCTGGAGGAGCTGATAAACTCATAGACATCCGACATATGGCAAGAGAACCAACTTTACAGTTTGTAGAAGTAATGCCACTAGTGTAATCTTAAAAATAAATATTTTAAGCTTTTTAAAATTTTCAACAGAAAATGTACGTGAGATGAGGTAAACTATAATGTGTGTGTGTGTGTGTGTGTGTGTGTGTGTGTGTGTGTGTGTGTGTGTGTGTGATAACAGCAATACTACAAATGAGGAGAGAGAAGTCAAATGAGCAAACTTGGACAAAGCTAATGCAAGACAGGAAGTGGACAACGTAGTAGAAGTAAAGGGTTTGCGAACAGAATGTCAGTATACAGACATATCTTTAATTCACAAAGGGTTTACAATATTTTACAAATGACACAAACTGTATGTAAGGCAGGTATAACATCTCTTTGGCCAACTTTCCTGTTGATATAGAAAAACAATAATAAAATAAGTCTGTGACGTCTTTTATTCTCTGCATTCAAAGGTAAGTATAGGATTACATTTCCTTTTGGTTGATATTCCTCTTATGTACAGTTATGGTCTCTATGTACATTGTGCTTGTTTATCTGGCAGGTTTAGCTGGGTAAAAACACACAAAAGCTCACACACACTTTCCTTCCACACACACACACACTTCTTGGGTTTCCTGCTGGTGAAGATGGAGTGCAGCATCATTAGACACTCCGGCTCAAAATCGGACAAACGAAGACACTTATGGGCAAAACCTCCTTTACCGCAAGCACGTTAGCATACATGAACAAGCATGTGTAATGCATAAGAAAAACAATGTTAAAGTGCACATCAAATGTCTTTGGTTGAATAGTTATCGCCCTGTTTATTCCTCAAAGAGTGAGTCTGACTCTTTGTGTCCATGCAAGGCACATCTTTGGACGCTTCCAGTTATCTTTTGCTTTTGGGCTCTTTAGCTCTTCAGCTAATTAAGGCAAGCTGCTATATTTCACAAGTCCAAAAGCTCTTTGCTGGGATAGAAAGAGATTGTGGGACGCAGGGTCTCTGCTCCCTAACATCACTGCTGAGAACCTTCAGTCCCATCAAAGCAGATTAAGTGCCCTTGTTGAAAATTCCCCTCATAAAGATGTCCCGCCTCCTGTCACTTCTCGTCACTAACAGAGCAGTCCACAGCTATGACGTCCTGTATTCCCGTGATTTTCTGTTCGTCCCCCGGGATCTCCAAGTCCGTGGGGATCTTCAGCTCGGCGGGGATCTTCTCTGCCGAGGAGCTGCGGCTGGACAGCTTCTCCATCTCGTCCTCCAGCTCCGAGATGCGCTCGGCGACGCAGTGAGCGGTGAGCCGGGCCTCCGGGTCGTGGTCCCAGCACTCCATGATGGTGGCACAGATCACCGCGATGCCCTGTAGAGAGAGCACCACAGCAGGGGTGTGAGACTGCATACTAAACAAAACGCCTTGAACTGATGGTTGTGAAGGTTGCATGTTGTCGAACAACCTCAAGTTACTTTAATGCAGAATGGACACACACACACACACACACACACACACACACACACACACACACACACACACACACACACACACACACACACACACACACACACACACACACACACACACACACACACACACACACACACACACACACACACACACACACACACACACACACACACACACACACACACACACACACCACACACACACACACACACACACACACACACACACACACACACACACACACCACACACACACACACACACACACCAAAGCCTATACTAAAGTCAGCCATGACACAAACTTGTTGGCAGGGAAGAATCCTGATGGGGAGAGTTTCCCTCATTCTCTTAAAATAAGATAGGCTACTGTAAAATAAGATAAAATAAGCTAAGATGAGATGAGATGTGACTCAGGACTTTGAACCGAGGACATCTCCTTGTAACTGAGTATTTGAGTAAAGGGTCCGAGTACTTCCTATGCCCGGTGCACAGATGGCTGCAGCTATATAAAGCTGTGACAGCTGCAGGAATAAAGTATTTAATCCTTTACTGTTAATCTAACATGTCCTGACATCGGTGCGGGGGCTGAGAACAGTCTTTTAGGATGTGGTGTATTGCAATTAAAATGACATCAATATAAAGATTTCTGCTTGATTCCATTCATCATCCTTCACACAGGCTTCAAAAGCACAAAGCAAGCCCAACGCTCAAAACTAAAATACTGTCTTGTAAAAAAGGATGAAGGATTTGATTATCAGATCAAAACATGTTTTTTTTCTGGTCTCACAGTTCTGTAAGTGCATTTCAGAATGTGGAAACTGCTCATTTGTATTTAATTCAGTGTGTGTGTGTGTGTGTGTGTGTGTGAGCAGTGTTTTTGTGAACAGTGTGTGTGTGTGTGTGTGAGCAGTGTGTGTGTGAGCAGTGTGTGTGTGTGAACAGTGTGTGAACAGTGTGTGTGAGCAGTGTGTGTGAGCAGTGTGTGTGTGAGTAGTGTGTGTGAGCAGTGTGTGTGTGAGTAGTGTGTGCGTGAGCAGTGTGTGTGAGCAGTGTGTGTGTGTGAGCAGTGTTTGTGTGAGCAGTGTGTGTGTGTGTGTGAGCAGTGTGTCCCACCTGATGCTGCAGCCAGCTGTCGGGGATCTCAGGTCTGCCTCTGTCTCTCAGCACGTTGTCCTTCATGCTCTCCACACAGGGGTGCTCTCGCACTTTGGAGCCGTACGCAGGCTCGTAGTCCTTCACCTCTGCAAACACAAACACAACCAAGGATCAGATACGGTCTGCACATCCTCACATGAGCCTCAAGTATTAAATATCCTTCTTTTATGTCATGTTGTGTTTGCCATTATGATTTAAAGAAGCTGTAGATAAGCTGGCCAACAGGAACACAAAACAAGCACATCATTTATGGCATTGTTTATGGCACAGTGTACATTTTATTTTAAGAGGACTTAATATGTTCATTTTCAGGTTCATATTTGTAGTTTGTTCGTAAGTTTCCATGCTTTAGTGTTCAAAAAGCTCTTTATTTTTCTCCTAATGCCTGTGCTGCAGCACCTCTTTTCACTCTCTGTCTGAAACCAGAGCCCAGTCTGCTCTGATTAGTTAGCTGGCCGGCTCTGTTGTGATTGGTCAACCACTTTGAGATGTGAAGGAGAAAAGGTCCCACCCCTTGGTCTATCACGTGTTGGAGCGCTAGCCAATAGAAGGGAGTTTTTTACATACTGATGTCACTATATTATGAAAGTTAACAAAGGAGTCCAATGGAGGCGTTTCATGCAGGGTGTGTTACCTATATACAGTAACACACTACAGGAAAGGGAAACCCCAAAAAGCATAGTAGGGCTACTTCATAGAAAAAAGCGCTAATTGAAGCTGGAGGCATGCTGAGTTAATGTGATTATAAAGTGTAAATGCATCGTGGTTTGATATCATTCTAGCCCAAACCGCTGAGATGTAAGTTTTATAAGCCTCAACATTTGTGGCAGCAATAATGCTGATTATGGGAAATAAAATGTTTCACATGTTAACATAAGGGGAAAATTCATGTGCTGGCACTTGAACAATCAATCTTTTCAGCAACAAATGGCTTTGGCTAACAAGAAAGGAGTTGCAACCTCACACTGAACAGAACACCAAATAAAATAAAATGTTGATATCCTGGAATAACCAGCAGGGAAAAGAGAGAGTGCTGAAACCATGAAAAATTAAAAACTAAGTTCCGGGACTGTGTCCAGCCCTCATGAAACCAAACTCATAACAGCTGCAGTCGGTCTGGAGCCCCTAAGACTATTAGTCACACAGTTGCGGTGAAAAGAGACATGAACATGATATGCAAATATCTGACAAACAGTGTAGGCATCATGTTCCATGTACCCTCTCTTGATCTGACTGTTTCTATGTCCTGTGTTTAACAACCTGTGAAACACTGAGTTTTGTTAACTTGTGTGAACAGTCTTAGATGTGACAGAACTGTGAGGATGGATGTCTAAGGATAAATGGATAGAGCGTTGGAGTTTGGACGCCATCCAATCCTATGAAAGTTGCTCAGTGGGGCATGAAGCCAAAATGGCCTGAGTCTCTTGAGAGTAAAAGTATTCGTATCTGGGCTCAAAGAGGTCGCACCATTGCGTTTTCCGTAAAGCCCCTGTCACACTGTCCCGAAATTGACACCCGATGGACACACGATAAAGGAAATGTTCAAATTCGGCTGTGATCGTAGCAACATCGGGTCATTCGTGAGGGCATCTTAAGCCATCGTATGACCGCCGGTGGAGTTCTCAGGCTCCGGCAACAACTTCGTGAGCGGCAACTTCGTAAGGCACTCGTGGGCATCTTGTCAAGTCGTGTCATCTTCGTGTTATCATCGGTGCATTCACCCTCACTCTGATCGGGACGAATGCCCGATGGCACCGATGATAACAAGATGCCCTAACGATGGCCTTACGAAGGGCAAAATTGACACACGAATTCAACACGAAAATGAACCTTCGCAAGGTCCTTCGGCTATTTTTTGGCATGCCAAAGATTTTGCCACCGCTCACAAAGTTGCTGCCGGAGCCTGAGAAACTCCACCGGCGGTCATACGAAGGCTTAAGATGCCCTCACGAATGGCCCGATGTTGCTACGATCAGAGCCAAATTTGAACATTTCCTTTATCGTGTGTCCATCTGGTTGTTTTATTGCACAACAAAATCATGTAAACATTATTTTGAAGGCGAGTTGACAGGAAGTTGTTGTTGCTATGGAAACAACAACATGACGGAGAAAACGTAATATCTTCTACATATAAAGACGGAGAAAGTAAAGAACAAAGTCTGAAAATATCAGTACAGTATCATAGTACTTTAACATAATTGTTTGTGTTACTTTCGTTGCAGTTGTATGTCTTAAATGTAATGTAAATGTTGCCTTCGTGTGTGGTTCGGGGCCATCTTCGTGCAAAATTCACAATTCCATATTCGTGTGTCCATCGGGTGTCAACTTCGGGACAGTGTGACAGGGGCTTTAACCCCACCTTCGATCTCCAGCTCTCGCCTTTTAGCACATTTTAAATCCTTTAGGTTAGGGAATGCTCCGGTATTGGGACAAAATTAACATGGGATCACTCCGGTCATTGTACGTACTTCGTCTCACTGGAATATTAACGGTCAGATTGAATACAACATCGACCCAATTTCTCCGGGCAATGACGGGAGAGTTTTGAAAGTGACAAAACACTGTTTTCACACATTTAAAAACACTTAAACAATTAAACAATGTTTACCCAGGATTCAGGCTTGTAAAATGTGGTGATGCGCCCTGGAGGTATCAGACTATTTAAAACATGTATACTCAGGATTCAATCACTTTCCTGGCTTGCAAAGTGCTGTGAAGCAGCCTGTTCTCTGGGTGCTCAAGTGTGGGAGGATGTGTAAGGCAGAGGAGGGTAACAAAAAAAGTTAAAGTGTGAACCTCCAGCAGGGCAGGTGGTGCTGTGAATAAGGCCGAATATTGATGCTGGTGTGCGGACAGTAAAGCACCACAAAAGCCATTACCTTTAAGTGTTACCAGGGCCATGAGAACATCCTCCACAGGAGGGTGGGTGGTGCTGCTGTGAATAAGGCCGAATATTGATGCTGGTGTGCGGACAGTAAAGCACCACAAAATTCACCTCCTTTAAGTGTTACCAGGGTCATGAGAACATCCTCCACAGGAGGGTGGGTGGTGCTGCTGTGAATAAGGCCGAATATTGATGCTGGTGTGCGGACAGTAAAGCACCACAAAATCCACCTCCTTTAAGTGTTACCAGGGCCATGAGAACATCCTCCACAGGAGGGTGGGTGGTGCTGCTGTGAATAAGGCAGAATATGGATGCTGGTGGGCTGACAGTAAAGCACCGCAAAATCCACCACCTTTAAGTGTCACCAGGGGCATGAGGTTCTGGAGGGTGTGATCATCTGGGTTTAGTCCGTGGGGGAGTGCTTAAGTTCGGGGGCCCGGGGACCCAAGGTGCGCAAGGTTATGGAAGTACGCATGTCAGGGAGCGATGCTGGAGCTGCTTAGTCCGTCCTTTGGGGGTCTTGGAGCGGCCACAGAGAGGTGCTTTTCCCGGTGTATTTCATGGAAGTCTGACACAGCCTGTTTGCTCATGTCAGGGAGCGATGCTGGAGCTGCTTAGTCCGTCATTTGGGGGTCTTGGAGCGGCCACAGAGAGGTGGTTTTCGCGCTCTGTCTCCTGGTAGTATGAAATAGCCTGTTTGCTCATGTCAGGGAGCAATGCTGGAGCTGCTTAGTCCGTCATTTGGGGCTCTGTGAGCCGCCACAGAGAGGTGCTTTTCCCGGTGTATTTCATGGAAGTCTGACATAGCCTGTTTGCCCATGTCAAATCTTGCTATTAATTGATAACTTTTAATAGGAATCTCTGTTTGACATATGTTCAGAATGTGCTATTTATTCAGAAATAGCACATTCTGAATGTGTCCTGGAGGAGTGAAATAATCAGAGTGCCATGTCAGGGAGCGATGCTGGAGCTGCTTAGTCCGTCATTTGGGGGTCTTGGAGCGGCCGCAGAGAGGTGCTTTTCCCGGTGTATTTCATGGAAGTCTGACATAGCCTGTTTGCTCATGTAAGGAAAAGGTCTGCCTTATGGACAGAGTTAACATGGGACTTGTCCTTCAAATGTACACATGTCCGCACAATGGAAATGTGATGTCAACTTCCAATGCAAAGTCCCTGCCACCGGCAGGACACATTTTACCAACTGTAAACCAACACTTGGGGGTGCTCTATGCATGTGTCTGAGGGTAAAATAATCATCATTCCGTATATAAATATGTTTGTCAATATCATGGACATTTCCTTTTAAATTGGGGTCCACGAAGCTGACACAAGATACCCGCAGATAAGCACTCATCTCGGACTAAAATCCTCAATGCATAGCAGTTTTAATGGCATTTTTGTTATTCAGTGTTACCAGGGGCACGAACTTCTGACCGGTGTTCCCTCTTGGTTTAGTCCGTGGGGGAGTGCTGAAGTGTGGGTACACAGGTTCGCCTGGTGCACAAGGTTATGGAGGTGGGGGTCTTGCTGGTGCTCAAGTGTCCATATACGTCACCCCATATTCACATAACTTTTACCCGCCTTAAGAGACACTATTTTGGGATACAATTTATCCATTTTCACCCCTTTTCTCTGGTTCTTCCAAAAGTCAACTTATGCCTCATTCACACCAACGGTGTTTCAGGGCCGGTTCGGAGCTGGAGCTTGAAAAGCACCGGGTTTTCCTCTTCACACCGCAGCGGAGCAGCCTCTTAGCTCCGGAATCCGGTTCGTTTCAAGCACCAAAAAATTGTCCGGCCAGAGCAAAAGCACCACATACGTCACGCTTACGTCGAGGCGGGGGCAGAGACCATGGCAGAGACAGATCAACTCCTGAACAACAACAAAAAGCCCGCGTTTTATCCAGTTTGTACACAACGATGGAGAAACTTAACAAGAGTTTCAGTGTTTCTGCCATATACTGTATAAAGGTTTCTGCTCATGGTGAAGCAACGTGTCTGCGTGTTAAGGTGGAACCTGAGCATTCACGTTGATCACCTCTCATTATAACTCATTATAAATCTATAAAACTATAAATATTAAACTTTACTTCACGTGTTCATTTGAGAACAGCTGTTACATACCTCGGTGAAGGTTACAGTTCATTTAAATGAAAGATACAACGTTACTCCACACTCATGGTTCAGTCCACCTTAAGAAATAA